GACGTGGGTGGGGATGGGGAGAGCAATATGGGAATGGGGACATAGGTGTGGGGATGGGGACAGTGATATGGGGACATAGGTGGGGATGGGGACAGGAATATGGGGGTGGGGATGTGGTTAGGGATAGGGATGTGGGTTGGGATGAGGACAGTGATATGGGGACGTAGGTGGGGGTGAGGACAGCAGTATGGGGGTGGTGATGGGAACAGAGATATGGGATGGGGATGTGGGTAGGCATGGGGACAGCAATACGAGGGTGGGGACAACGATATGGGGATGGGGACAGCAATGTGGGGGTGAGAATGGGGACGCGGATGGCTGTACCTTTCTCTAAGACATAGAGAGTGACCTGGGAGGATTTCCCTACGATGTCAGGAGGGTTTTTGACGTCGCAGGTGAAGGTGCCGTTGTCGGTGTAGTCCAGGTTGTGGATGACGATGGATCCATCCTTGCGCCGGGGGTTTCCCACCCACTCCATGCGTTCCTTGAAGGAACCCACGTCATCGATGTAGGGTTGGCCTTTGGCGTAGTGAAATATCTGGGGGTGGAGAGAAAGGGGGGAGGTTTTGGGTCACGGTTTGGGTCGTGATGCACCCCGAGGTCGGATGCGGTGCGGTGCTTACGGAGATGCTGTCACGGCTGCCCTCAGCCTGGAAGTGCCACGTGATGGAGATGTCCTCTGAGATCCATTCGCTGGACCAGAAGCTGCATGAGAGGGTGACGTGGGAGCCCACGGTGCCGTACACCTCCCGTGGTGTGTACACGTGGATGGCCAACGTGGGGGACAGCCCTGAGGGGGTGGGATGAGGGGAGGAAGAGCTGTCAGCCCCATGGGGACACCAACGTGGCACTGGTAGAGCCATCAGCGCCATTGGGTCAACAGCATGGCACCAGTCGAGCCATAGTGCCCTATGGGGACACCATAATGGTACCAACTAAGTTGTCACCCCCATGGGGACACCAACATGGCACTGGTAGAGACACAGTGCCACCTGGGAACACCAACATGGCACTGGTAGAGCCACCAGCACCACTGGGTCAACAGCATGGCACCAGTAGAGTCGTGGTGCCCCATGGGGACGCCAACATGGCACCAGTAAATTGACCAACCCCATGGGGACACCAATATGGCACCAGTAGAGCCACAGTGTCCCCTGGGGACACCATTATGGCACTGGCAAAGCCATCAGCATCATGGGGACACCAGTATGGCATGGGTGGAGTCACAGTGCCCTATGGGGACACCAACACCATTGGGTCAACAGCACGACACCAATAGAACCACAGTGCCCTATGGGGACACCAGCATGGCACTGGCAAAGCCATCAGCATCATGGGGACACCAGTATGGCACCAGTAGAGCCACAGTTCCCCATGGGGACACCAGTATGGCACCGGGAAATCGATCAGTTCCATGGGGACACCAACATGGCACTGGCAAAGCCATCAGCCCCATGGGGACAACCATCATAGGGACACCAGTATGGCACCCGTAGAGCCACAGTGCCCTACAAGGACACCATAATGGTACCAATTAAGCCATCATCCCCCATGGGGACACCCTCCAGCCCTATAGGGAAATAACCAGCCCCATAGGGACACCAGTTGCTCCGTGCTCCCACGCCGTCCCCAAATGCCACCAAAGGGCTTTTGTTGGAAGGGACAATGGCTCCTTGTTATGGTGGCTGTGGGGACGCGTGGTGGTGACATCGGGGTCTCCTTGCAGCCCCACAGCAGTGACCAACAGTTGGCCCCAATGATCCCTGTGGGGTTTTTTCCACTTTGTAGGTTCTGTGACCATCTGATCCCATGATCCTATGGCCCTATGGTTTGATGATCCTACAGTGCTATGGTTCCCTGACCCTATAATCCTGACTCTCTGATCATAGCCCTCTATGTTTCTTTGAGTTTATGCTTCTGTGATCCTACAATTCCACGTCCTTACAGATCTGCAACCCTACAATCCTCTGATCCTAACATTCTACAGCTCTACAACTCTACGTTTCTGTGACTCTACCATCCTACAAGTCCACGATCCCATAATTCTACAGTCCTACAGTTCCACCATCCTACAGTTCTACAGTCCTGCAGCCCCATGATCCTACATCTCCACGATCCTATATTCCCACAATCTTACATCTCCATGATCCTACAGCTCCAGGACTCCTACAGCTCCAGGATTCCTACAGTTCTATAACCCTACATTTCTAAGCTCCTACATCTCTATTATCCTACATCCCCATGATCCTACACCCCCATGGTCCCACAACCCAATCATCCTACATCCCCATGATCCTACAGCTCCATGATCCTATATCCCCATGATCCTACATCTCCATGATCCTACATCTCCATGATCCTACAGCTCTAGGACTCCTACAGTTCTACAGTCCTACATCTCTGAGATCCTACAGTTCCATGGCCCTACATCCCCATGATTCTACATCCCCAGGATCACACACCTCCATGATCCTACATCCCCATGGTCCTATACTTCCACAACCCTACATCTCAACGGTCCTACACCCCCATGGTCCCACATCTCCACGATCCTACACCTCCAAGACCTTACATCTCCACAACCCTACATCCCCATGATCCAACATCCCCGCGATCCTACATTTCCAAGACCCTACATCTCCACGATCCTACATCCCCACGATCCTACAGTCCCACATCTCCAACAATCCTCCACCTCCACCATCCAACCAACCTCAACGACGACCACCTAAT